GTTTGCAGCAGATGACTTGTCCTTTGATTGGCTTTTAGCCATTCCAGTCACTACCTCAAATATAGTAGGAACATCATTGATCATGTTGAAGAAGCGCTTCCTGAAATTAAACAAGTTAGTGTACACTCTATCCACATAGAGAAGGAGACCGAAAGAGAAACTGTCATCCATTACCTATCTTCCTTGTGGAAAGAAAACCTCGAGCCGAAGTAAAAGGAAACAGAAAGTAACCAAGCGTCACTGTGAATGGCAATAAGAAAAAGCCATTCTTTTTCAGAGAGCCCATCTCTTGCAAAGTTAATACCAAGAGCTGGCTGTGGAAGCTCAGGAGGCACTTCTTCAGCTGGTAAATTCACTTCTCATTCTTCATTCGGTAACCCATACGGGACAGTTATAATGCGATCTATGCCAAACCAAGTCAAGGTTTGGTTCATTTGGTTTGGTTTCGTTACTAAACTGATCATCCTCCTTTGTTAATTTTCTCGGTTCCGTTTGCAAACTGACTTAACTGAAATCGATCGGTTTGACCATCTATCTTAACATTTTTGAAGTACATTTTGTACTAAAATCTATTTTGGCTTATAACCTTTTATTTTGTAATATTTTCATAATCAAACCCTTGCCATTTGAATAAATAACAAAACTTAAAAGTAAATTTTGTAATTAAATCACAATCAAATCGCAAAATTGGAAACAAATATTTATTACATCAAAAAGTTTCCTTAAAATCTCTCACTAATAAACCGAATCTCTCTCCAATATATTTATATAATCTTATTTGTTTAAAATTTATATTATTACATAAAATATATTTAAAATAAAAATACAAATTTTTTTCCACACATTTTGCAATTTAAATTTTTGAAAACGGAGGTATTTAATTCAATCAATAAAGGAAAAGATATATGTACAGACTAATATGTTTACAATTACAAATGAGCATGAACTTTTATTTTGATCAACTATCTAAAATAAAAAATTTATTAGTTTAATCCGGTTCTTTATTTAAGAATTTTTTTTTTAAAAAAGTTTCAGAATATTATAAATTTTAATTTTTTAACAAGTTTAAAATATGATAAATATTAAAACTTTTAAAAGCTGAAAATTATGATATTTTATTTAAGTTTTATAGAATATTAAAATAATGAAAAATATTTAAACTCTACAGAAATTAAAAGTATTATTAATATTTTAACTCTATAAATATTTAAAATATAATAATATTCTACGTAAATATGATTGAACGAGTTTGAGTTTACATAAATATGATTATATTTTTCTGCGGGTTGTCGATATTTAAAATCTTTTACGGGTTAAGTTAAAATATAATTTTTTATTTACAACAAAATCGTCCCGCGTTGTACCACGGGTTTACCAAATATATCTATGAATCTACTTATAATAAAAATTCATAAAATTATATTAAATTAAATGAAATAACACGTATAAAACTAAACTATATAAACCAACTACGAAAATGATCAACCAAAGAAATATATTAAACTATGGACCCGTGGTGTACCACGGGGGAAATCCTAGTATAATATAAACCTTAATACTTTACCACACCTATAAACATTTGAAATAATTTTTTCATATCATGTAAATTATAATCATGAGTTGGAATTTTTATAATATGAAATCATATCAAAACTGTAAATCAATCAGCTGATACAACAAAACAACAGACTGGGAACTGAAGTGGAAACCTCTCCATTCTTTGATGATGGTCGCCTGACATGCCCCTTACACTTACACTACACATTACAAGTTTCTTGTTTCCTTGGTTTCAATTTCGCAGCTCGTTCTTCGTACGATGCTGCAGGAACAAAGAGCAAGATACCATATGAGCTTTTCCATCTTTGCATATGTACATGTTGCAGTGAGAGATATCAAAGAGGACTTACGCTCAGTTGGTCGAGATAATAAGGGAACGTGTTCTGCTCTTTTCTTCTTTTTCTCTACGTCATTACATGAGCTTTGTTCTGTTGAAACTGAACATTTTGAGTTAATTCTCTCTTTCATAGAAGTCATCTTATTATAAAGGAGATACACTGATATGATATCATACCACTGGATGGTGGTAAACAGTTCCGGAGAGCCTCCTGATAAATCACAGACTCTAATTGGTATGTCAACGATTCATTCTTGAAATGAGACTGCAGTGACTCCGCAGCGCCTTTAGGCATGAAAAAAGTGTTGTTATTATCATATCTACTGAATCTAAAACAACTTCCAAGATATCTCCATCAGATTTATTACCTGGAGAACATATGAAGTTGACATTTTCAAATTCACATGTACGGAGGACTAAGGGAATCTCGGAGGCCAGCAGATATTGAGGTTTTCTTGGCGTTTTCTTGGTGTCCAACAATGTATCTATAACCTGCGTAAGTACCATCCAGTTCATCGCATATAACATAACACCTAAGTAAGGGTTGGAATGAACTGGAATAGGAAATTAGAACAACACGAAGGCGTCCAAGTACATACATCAACCGACTCAACGCCCTGCCCAATCATGAATAACACGGCGACCATGCAGCGGATCTGGTGCCACAGGAAAGCACTGCCTCTCATTGTAAATGTGCAAAGCTGATCACCCTCATGACTTCACAAGAAGAAAAACAAGGACATTGGAGGTTTTAGGACCAAGACAATTATAAAAAGTAAATGATCAGAGAATCATGGGTGTATATAAACTAGCGAATGGTGTCAATGGGTGCCAGTGTGCAACAGAGGATGCAAAATTTCTATTGTTCTTGTGACTTTCAGATCATGATTTGGTCTACCCTAAAATTTATCCAGTTCTATTACCCTATGACCTAATGGTCTACCATTTGTTCCTGAAAAATCTTACGGTGTTAAGCAAAAATCTTAGTTGAACCTAATCAAAATCAGTTAAAGAATACTAATGCAGTCAGCAGCTGTGTTTTAAATGGCGCGAGGCGGGGTAAGGCGATGAAGGTCTGGTTTGAGCCCTGAGCCTAGGCGCACTTCGCTCCGAGCCTTTGGTATCTGAGGCGCAACTACACAAGAAAACATAAGGTTAGTTATATTCATTGATCTCTAAACCATGTTAGCACCATGTGTGAGTTTAAAACCATGTAAGAACCAATAAAAATGTGGATTATCATTTAGAGAACAGAGAAAGAGCAATAGTTGAAGCCATAAGTCTGAAACAGAGAATAAAAGAAAAACTATTGTGAGAAATGAGAAGATGAAAGAGTTTAACGTGAGATGAGAAGACAAAGAGGTTGTTAAAAAGATTAACGTGAAAAGGTTTATCCAAGTTGCGAAGACTCTTTAGGTTTTTTAGGAATAGCTGTAGCAGCAATAATGTAAAATGTTCACAAAAAATTAATTTTTGGAAACATAAAAAGCAAGTAAATATTATGTTTAACAATAATTACCTTTTATTTTCATAGGCGCAAAGCGACGGGAGGCGCGCTTGATACCAAGGCGTCACGGAGCGAGAGCCTTTGGGCCAGAGCCTAGCCTCATCTATTAGAGGCGATGAACCCTTAACCTTACCTCGCCTCGAGCCTAGGCGCGCCTAGGCGTCGCCTTTTTAAACACAGGTCAGCAGTCATCAAATAAGTAACAAAAAATTTGCTTGAATGTGTTTTTTACCAAAGCCGACCTATTTTGACAAGGAGAGACATCAAAGAAAGTAACACGTCGTGTATAGCAATGCACATTTGCCACGTCCATCTTGCAGAAGTTCCTAAAATCATGCTCTCCGATGAACTTCTTCCCAGCAATGTCCATGGCCTAGAGGAAGATGTGAATCAAAATTGAGTATCTACAATTTTTCACTTTTGGATTCTTTTAACTTTATTAACAGAGAGTAGAGATTACTGCACCGAGAGATTCAGATTTTGTCTCCAAAAGAAATATTTGTATTCTCTAGCAGAGCAGCTGAACCTATACACAAGGAAACTAAAAACGATAAGCATGCACCATCGAACAATAGTTCGCAGAGTATTCTGCAGTCTTAAGGGCGGGAATAGTGTACACAAGAACGAAGGAGATACAAAAAAAGGTAACACACAAACCTTGCATGAAAGTCAACAGGAGCCGGAGACCATCCAGTAACTCGGATGTCATCAGGGAGAGCACGATTCAGAACTCTCACATAATCATATTCTGGTCCTAAACCAGAAGAGAAAGCAAAGAGTTACAGCAACACCATTAAGAAGGGGAAAATCACCAAATTGAATTACATTCTCAGAGTGAACTTACTTTCACCCATTTTCCCATTAACTTGTTCTACAGTAGGTGCCTTCAGTCTGGATCTTAAAAACAAAGCAATCACCTGTATCAGCAATTAAATTCGTGTAAGATATTCCACGAGGCTACCTTAGAGACATTTGGGAATGCTCATATTACAGTGATTTGGAATAACATCAGCACAATGAGAAATTGATTCGTAAACTGATGGGATTATATAATCCTGTGGGAATTAAATCACTAGGACAACCAGTGAGATTGCCAAGTAAGACCGAAAGAAGTTATTGAATGTAAAATGCAAGAGATCCTAGCAAAAACAATCAAGAGAGGCCCAAGCAATCCACCTGCCCTGTGGACGAAACACCTTTATCTGTTCTCCCACATCTCGAGTAACACGAGTCTTTCTTGTCACCAATTAAAAGCCGTGTCCTTTCAAGTGCTTTAAAAACTTCTGACTGTGGGAAACAACAGAAGTTACTCATCATGTCAATACACATTAGCTATCTTTTAACAAACAAAAACAAAGAGAAACCTCAATACTTGGTTCCATTTGTGCTTCAGCCGAAAATCCATAAAATCTGTAACAAAGAAAAGTCATCCATGTCTACGATTAGGAACAATGAACACGGCCTGGAGAAGATAAGTAACCTATACAAAAAAAAATAGCATACCTCTTACCAAAATACATGATTTTTAGTGCAACATATCTCTTTGAAATAAGATGACTCGGTATACTATTCTTATCTCCTTTTCTAACTCTCCTTCTCCTAACTAAGCTACTAGAATCTAACTCAGACCGATCATGCTTCACTTCCATCTACAACATAAACATCGAGGAGATTCTTAATAACCTCGAACGAACTAGTCTGAAGTCAATTCCCTCAATGGTTAAGAATATGTTCACCTGTTGGCATTGGCAGCTTGAAACCTGAGACAACAATTCAGCATTTTCCGCTTCTAATTCCTGATGAGACATAGAACAATCGAAAAAAATCGTGTTACTTCACCAAAAATTAACAACACTGAAACACAATCTAACACTTCGGATTGAACACAATTTCAAATTCAACCTCAAGCAATGTGTATTCAAATCGTTGCACTAACAAAAATGTTTAGCCCAAAAGTACACAAAACAGTGGGCGAAGAGACTACGTTGAACAGGAAATTTGAAGAAACGAAGATGACTCTACCTTCACGCGATTACGGAGAAACACTAGCTCGGTGTCTTTAGCGATTTCAGAGTCTCGGTCATCGCCGCCGGGATCGGATTTTCCGTCGGACATAGTCATTTATCAACAGCGGCGTTTAAGACGGTTACTCGTATGACCGTTGCGTCTATGACGGTTACTCGTATGACGGCGGCGTTTATGACGGCGACGAAACGATTCGACGCCGGTTGGAAAAAATTCAACGCGGCGTCGAAGAGAAACAATTTGGGATTTGGGGATGGTCACAGACTAATGTTTCTCTATTTACATGTTAGTCCCTGTAGTTATTGATATTTCTCTGATAACCCTTTTATTTTTATTTGGTTTAAGTGTATGATAATGGTTTTGATGATCTATTTAATTTCGATTTTGTAGTTAAAATATTTTATAATGTAATGTACAGTTTAAATATAAAAAAAAAAAATCAGCTTAATTTATCATTTTTGTATATATCTGACTTCAGAAATTATTAGTTTAGAATTAGTACTATAATTAAAGAAAAAACCCTAGTTTCTATTTCTCTTAACAATCGACAGAGCACAGCAAACTTGCTGTTTACGTTTTCGTTTCAATTATGGGAACTCGTAATCTTAAGGTTAAGAGTATAATCTCAGATGATGAAGATGAAAAGCGTACGTTATATGTAGGAGATCTTGATCCGAGTGTTCAAGAAACAGAACTATACACCAAATTTCATGAGATTACTCATGATGTTTCCTCTGTTAAACTTTGTCGTGACAGAGACACCGGCTCATCACTAGGCTATGCCTATGTCAATTTCAACCATAGTTCCCAAGGTAATAATTATATTCTATATTTTTAATGTTTTTGGCAAACGTGTGTATGTTTGGAGTTGAATTATGTGAAGTTCATTAACAAATTTTGTATTTTTTGTTTGTTTTTGTGTTGTGTGTGTGGGAAATATTAAACAGCAAAGATTGCAATGGATGAGCTGAACTTTTATAAGTTAAAGGGGAAACAGATGAGGATAATGTTTTCAGAACGTGATCCTAGCAAGAGGAGAAGCGGTCGAGGCAACGTGTTCGTCAAGAATTTGCACGAATCTGTCGACAACAAGCAACTTTGTGACATGTTCTCTACATTTGGCAAAGTTCTGTCTTGCAAAGTGGTTTGTGATGCTTATGGAGTTTCGAAAGGATACGGGTTCGTCCAGTTCTTATCGGAGCTTTCACTCATTAACGCATGTAATGTTAACAATGGCAAAGTCATCCGTAATCGACATATTCACGTTTGTCCATTTGTTAGTCGTCGTCAATGGGATGAATCGCCGGTTTTCACTAATGTGTATGTTAAAAACTTGGCGGATACTGCGAATGATGCTGATTTGAAGAGGCTTTTTGGGGAGTTTGGGGAGATAACTAGTGCAGTGGTGATGAAAGATGGAGAAGGTAAGTCTAGAAGGTTTGGGTTTGTGAACTTTGAGAAGGCTGATGACGCGGTTAGCGCGATAGAGAAAATGAACGGGACAATAGTCGATGAGAAGAAGTTGTATGTAGGGAGGGCTCAGAGGAAGACTAATAGAGTTGAGGATTTGAAAGCCAAATTCAAAGAAGAGAAATTAAGACAGGTGAGTACAAGTCCAGGGTTGAATCTTTATGTGAAGAATCTTGAGGATTGTGTTGATAACAAAATGCTTCAAGAATTATTCTCCGAGTTTGGAACCATCACTTCTTGCAAGGTATGTATATTGTAATCTGTTTAATTGATTCGTAGGAATTAAGTAATCAAATATAATTTAACTTATGTATTTTGTAGGTCATGGTCCATCCCAATGGTGTGAGCAAAGGTGTTGGGTTTGTCAAGTTCTCAACGAGCGAGGAAGCTTCTAGAGCTGTAAGTTTTATAAACCAAGTAATGGTTTTTTCAATGTTGTCTTCTCAATCAACTAATTCTTATTATATTTCTTTAACATAGATGCTAAATATGGATGGGAAGATGGTGGGAAACAAACTTATCTATGTTTCTTTTGCACAATGTAAAGAGGAACGTAGGCTTCATTTACAAACTCAATTTGATAACCTACCGCGAACGTCAGCTATAGCATCAAGTCCTCACCAACATCCTTTCTTTAGTCAAGCGGCCGCTCCGACAACAATGTTATCTCCGCAACCTCCAGTCGGAGGATACAATTTCCAACCGTATCCCATATATGGATCAAGACTGCCAAACAGTTTCCCTTCAATGGCTATCACTAATTTCATGGTGCAACAACCATTTCGTCCAACACCATACCCATCTGCTCCTCCTGTCGGCTTCCACCCTAGTTTGCAACAATGCCACTACTACAACCGAGGCTACTAGTAGCTTATAAGGATTTAACATTATGTCGAAACTAGATTGATTGGTCTTCTTTTATTTTGTCGTGGTGGATTTTTGCGACAATTGGTTTTTGGTTCTAATATAGTTACCGTTTCTTGCAGCTCTAATTCTCAACATTCATGTTTACTTTGAGGTCGATCAAAGATTAATTCACATAACCTGTTTTGAAAGAAGACGAACAAACCAATGCAAATAGGTTTTATAAACTTGAGAGATAGTAAAACTACAAAAATTATCGTGCATACAAAATAAAACCAAGCCCAAGAAAATTCGAAATTGTATGGTTCATCCTCAAAACTAGCAACTATCTAAAGCCATTTTGGTCACAACCTATTCGTCGGAGGCTTGACTCTATAAATACGAACTATCCAGTTGGATGTTGTGTAAGCTTCTTCTAAGTGTTCAAGTTTGATGTCTTTGTTCCCTATCTCCACCCCTCTTGCTCTATCATACCTGCCAATAATTCCACCACTCAACTTTTTGCATATATAAACTAAATGTGTGTATGATAGATTAGAACTAATATATCTTCAAGAAGCAAAACGTAAGTGTTTAACGTACCCGGGTGGCTTGCCATATTCTGTGGTCAGCTCACCGAACCTGTAATAGCATAATTTGTACCTATACACAGGAAAAAGCATTTACGATGAATTGCATCATCTTCAAAAATTTCCCTTATTCTCGAGAGACAAATATATACAAGCTAAAAGTAGAGTCTTTCAGTGTGAACTTACATGAGACAGTTCAGCATCTTTGGTGATGCACCCTTGTCTACACGGAATTCACCATTCACAAGGTAATCAGGTTCCTTGATCACTGGGAATACTCCACCTCCAATTCTCACCATCCACAAGAACCTAACTCACATCATTTTTATTATGAGTATCAGTAAATACACACGTTAACTGAATCAATAAAGTTTGCATAGGACTCGATAAGAACAGGAAGACCATTAAAGGTATTGACTTGACAGTTAATCAGAAGTATGTCATTATTGGTATAGTAGAGACTAGAGATGTATGTCAAAGCAATTAAATCCTAAGTGGGCGACTCAGACCAATTGCCACAAGTCACATGTAGAGTCTACCCATAATAGCTAGTTTCTAAATCACCAGCCACTTCTATATTTGGTTGATAAGTATCCACTTAATACTAGCCCAAGCAATTCATTTTTCTCACTACTAGTCAAAATTAGCGACCAGAGAATGTTGCCAGATAGGTAAAAGTTTGAGTATTTCGTTAGCAAGCCACCAATTAATACCATATTTGATTGACACGCAACAATAACCAGGTTTTTGGTAATAAATGGAAAGAGGAGCATACATGAATTCAGGAGAGACGTAAAGAGACTTACTTGTTTATATCATCTGAGGAATAACCAGTAACACCACCAAACACGACCAATACATAGTTCACATCAAGTGACCTCATGATGTCATACGCCTCATCTTCATAAGAAGACATGGCACGTCCAACAGTAGCAATATGTGTGTTGTTCCAGGTATTGTTATCGACGATGACCGTTCTGTTTCCCATTGCAGTGATTTGGTACCCATAGTCCCACCACGACATGATCTTAGCATCAGTGGGAGTGTTTTGCCTAAGCCAGTAGTAGGCCTCACGGTAATCATCAAAGATGATTCTGTTCCCATGGGCTCCTCTTGCAGCTAGGACAATTGAGGGAGATGAATATGCCTCTGATGTCACCCATGTGCAGTGAATAGCATATCTACTGAGCAGATAAAATACTCCAACAAGAAGAGCAATGGCACCATTTTTTTGGAAAGGCTGAGACTGGTCAAGTGTAACCTGCTAGGACATAGGAGACAAGGATTAAATTTTCTCCTGTCACTAGAGAAGCGTGCTACAGTTCAAAGTAGTTGACAAGTAGTACAATAGTTTAAACCATAACTGATGAAAAATTGGTGAGGAAAAGGATACCAAGATTCACCTTTGAAGAGGCTTTGGAACTACCAGCTCCTTTCGTGGAACCAGTCTGGGAAACCTTTTGTTTCGTCCTTAACAGAGAAGTTAAATTCTTGACAGTAGCAGAGACAGCTATGGCACTGATAAGACAAACTGCTGGAGTGGCGACAAGAATAAGCCGAACCATGACACCAGCAAAGTACAAGCTAGTAAGCCCATACATGACGATAAATATTGTAGCATCTGACAAACGCTTGAAACAGAAGTAAAGTCCGGCTGGGAAAAGGAAGAGCAGGATATGGTAGTCAAACATGAAAGATGACCAGGCCGTAGGCTGATGCTCAGAAACAGATGCAATAATGGGAATGTGATCCTTTGCATAAGTCGGGTCAAGCAACGAGTAAAATCGACCAGTCCATGGAGATATATAGCCAGATGCTGTTCCTACACCCAAAGCAATACCACCAACCAGTATAGCCGATGTCACAGTTATCCTCAAAAACGTTTGGAACAACTTGGTGTCATTGAGCTGGTACTTCACCCAGTCCAAGAAGTAAAACACCTGTACAAGTAGGGATCAGCAAGATTTTACCTTTACATACTCTAACAAGATCTAACACTCATGTTGTAGAAAGAGAACAAACCTGCATCAGTAAGAATACTCCCATTGCACCCATATGCTCACCAGATTGAACATGTTGAAAACCAACAAACCGAATTTGCATAGCAAGCAACATCCCCAAGATATACATACAGTTATAAGCAATGTAAAGCCTCATCGAATACCTTCCCGTGATCAACAACACCAAGACGTAAAGTGGAACCAAGTTAATAATAAACACATATCCTCCCCAAGCCGAAACCATATAAAAGTAACCAAACGCAGAGCCAAGTGCCCAAGCCAACGAACCAGTGTTCACAGCCTTAACAAACAGATAAAACGTCAACAAAAGTGCGAAAATCGCGACAGCTTCGTTATCATACGAACCAGCTACAGACCGAGAAATGTATCCAGGACAAATAGCTATTAGCACAGCAGCAACAAGACCAGCTCCTGTATCCCAAATCTCTTTACCAAAGAAATACGCAACAAGAGTCGTGTTCGACGCGAAGAACGGAGCTGTCAACACACAAACCTCACGGATATGAACGAAGAATCGGAGAAACCGCAATGCCCAGTAGATCAAAGCGGCGGTGACCATGAGACCAGGATAAAGCGTACCGCCGATGATTCGACCAAGAGGGTACCAAGATTCAGAGTCGAACCAGTTCCAAAACTCGTAGAAGCCTTTCTCGGTGAGGAAGAGAGTGGTACGGTAGTTGAAATACGGATCGAATTCGTGGATCATGGATTCGTATCGAAGAACACTAAAGAGACGAGCTATGAAGGCTAAGATGTAGACTAGACCAAGGATCGAGATACGGAGCAAGAGCTCTTGCTGCTTCGTCTTCAATTTTAGGGATTTGAATGAGAAGAAACTACTGTTGATCAGATCTGGACTCCTCGTCGTCGCCGTCGCCATTGATTCCGATTTCGCCGGCTCTGTTTTTCCTCCCATTGGAAAATGGATCAAGTAGCGATCCTCCGACAGTGATGATCTGAGTCAAGTCGTCTGTGTTGAGAGTGTTAAGCTCTGTGGCTTTTGTTCATGGGGATTTGTGAAATTTTATTTTTTCGTAAACAAAGTCAGTGGAGAAGTGAAGAGTGAGTGGCAGATCTTTTGGGCTTTACTGAGCCCATTATTAACTTGAGACTTTTGGGCTTTACTGAGCCCATTAACAACTTAAGCTCGGTTCTATCATCGATGTAATATTGAGTGTACATGAAATGCAGTCTTTGTTCTTCGTCTGTAAGCAAGTATCTTCTATGTTTTTTTAACATGAACACTATTTATACATTCCTAAATTTACGAAATTGATACAAGTTGTAAAATTACTTACTATACACAATACTAGGTTCGGACCCGCGCTACAGCGCGGAGGAAATAATTACATATATATAACTTTTAACGGATTAGAATATGTTACATTTTAATTTTGTTACAGTGCAGTCGATTATGGTAATCATATATTTGTATAATAAGTTTAAATAAAATAATAAAGAAAAAGCGAGTAAATAATCATATACTGAGTTTTGATACAATTAAAAACACGGTGAAAATTTAACAGCACAAAATAATATTTGTCGATAAATTATTCATTTTGACCATTTTTGTAGTAAAAGTAGGAATATACGTAAAAATTACATATACAATATATTTTTTGAAGGTCCAACCCGTAACCTAATTCATTTAGTAAAAAACAGTATTCGTAACTCGCTTTATCATTATAATTGTGATTTTAACAAACGACCCGAGAACTATCTAAAATTTACATAGTTTGACATATAATATATTTTATCAATAAAAATTATGTCTCCAAAATTACATTTATGTCTTCAAAAAAATATTTCAATATTTTAAATTCTTAAATTTTTATATATTTGAACCTTCTACTTATGATATTTTGAAACTATTTGAAATTTTAAATATGCTCATGTAACAATGGTTTTAATATTGGTCATACTTACATTGATTTTAAACCATTGTCCAAAATATTTAACCGAGTGTAGTTGAGTATTATATGTCCGTTTTGAAAAATTCAAATTGCAACATATGCAAAAAAAAGTTAAATTTTTATTAAATATTTATATTATATAGTATAATATCAAAAAATTAAAAAATAATATTAAATAAAAGTGAAAGAAGAATATTATTTTTTAAAATAGATTGTATTAAATTAGTTAGAGAAATATTAGTAAATCCTATAATTAGTTATGGAAATAATACAATCCTAAAATTAGATTTGGAAAGTATCCGGTGTATGTATCCAAACCCATTAATATATCCAACTTTAAAAGATCCAATTACAAATTTCGGGTAATTTTCTTAAATTGACCCGACCCGGAAGCAGTTTTTGTACTTCTCTTTTACTAATATAGGGATGGAATCTGACCAGAGAGATATGTATTTAGAAGTCTGGAGAAGCTTCATGGCCTTGGATAAAGGCGTACGTGAGTGCAAGTGCACGCTGAAGTTTCCGTGGAGACAAAACCTCAACCTCGGCCAAGAACGTGGCTGTGACGGGACGGTGATCGGATAATTTAATCTCGTTTCTTCTGTAATTAAAAATCTTCATTCCCTTCCCGTTCCAAATGATGCGGTCACACCTGATGATCAATCATAGTCACTTCAAACTCATTGTTTTTGCCTTTTTGTGTATATTAGGGGAAAATGTTGTATCAAAGTTTATGAAGAAAATACCAGGCTGGTCTACGTTTCCCGGATTCCGGGTCATCTCCGATGTAGTTTTCTGAATCGATTTCGTATTTGTAAGTTGGTGCAAAATCTAAAGTTCCCTCTGACCATTCCTCGAATACGTTCCCTTTTGCCATTTCTCTTGAAAGCTACCAGAGAATAAAACATATAATTGCAATCTTGATATGGAACTTTTAAACCATAAATTTTAGAACTTTGTCACTTAGTATTAAGCCAAAAGCCCAAAACAATGCAGTAAAGGTACCTGGTCATACTCTACCAACCTCTGCCATTCCTTTCTTGCAATAAGTTCATGTATCTTCTCATACGACAAGTTAATCCGATAGTTCAGATCTCCCAGCCAGATTATTCTTCTACACAAGGTTATCTTGTTATGTTTAAAACTTATTAATAGTTAAATGCAGTTGAATATATCAATTGAGAAATTAAACGTACTCATGATCATGGATGCTTCTTGGAAGCTCATTCGCATTTGAAGAATGTGGAAGAAACTGTGTTCTTCTATGAATTTCACGTACATCATCGTTTCTTTTCTCTTCATCTGTATCTTTTTCCCCAGATGACAGATGTGAGCACAAGAAGCAAAACGGTGTCTGATAGATTGACATGCTCACCGATACGGATCCCTATGACAACATAAGAAACTTTAAGTTATTTGATAGTCTACGAATAATTATTTAGAGCGACTAGTAAGAGAAATCAAGACCTTGTTACCAATGTAGCCCATAATACCAACACCAACAGTAGATACACAAAGGTTGCTTATGTGCTTGCGCAAGCTCCTCCGAACCCAAATGGTGAGAAACACTCCGACCATCTGTTTACTCACAATCCGTACATATGATGGTTTTCTAAGATTCTTTATAGTTAGACTCACTGACTTGAAGGAACCACTTCTTTCCGAAACATATTGATTAAGCAGTTTTAATGGAGGCTCTGGCCACCTCAAAACAACTCTTTCAGTGTAACTAAATCTTCCTTCCCTTTGGGAATCACTATTAACCTGCACTGAGAGAGAGCGGTTCGGCGTATTTGGTGATGAAAATTGCCTTGGTAGATAGTCTTGTATGGGCAAGCAAGATGTGTTGTCATCGGTAGAACCCAAAACGTCTATATTAGTAAGTGAATCTTCACCTACGATTGGTCTGTCCGTACCTTCATTAGAACTGGGTTTCTTATCCATTGAATGAATCACATCGCTAGCATCATGACTGGTTTCAACAAACATATCTTCTACGCTGTAAGAGACCTCTTCAGATTGCTTAAACTTCGATGGAGAAGGGGGGTCACTGTGACTTACGATCTTCAGCTTTCTAGGTCGAACTCGGTTTAAGGCATCACGTATCAAGTTCTCCCATTCAGAAGCAGGCTGGTCATCTTCCATACCAAAAATGTTTCCGGCATTTAAGGGAACGATTTCCTGAAAACTGAAATGAATCATAAAAAACACTGAATACAGAACTCATTCACCAAGGTAGTCAAACAAAAGATTCAGGAGAAAACAAACATACCCAAGAACATAAATGTCAGCAGGTTCAGCAGTGTCTAGCCAACCATCAATATCCAAATCAGCTGGTGGAACTCTTCCTCCAGCATTCCATGTCCCAGCACAGATCCTAGCTACATCAAAACCACATACCAGGGACTCACTACGGTTGATGCTAAGCAACACTGTTCACACAACATAGCATTACAGGAAAAAAATGAGACAAGAAACAAACATCTTTCTACAAATTGGCTCAGCTTCCTGAACTAAACTAAGACTAGAAAATTCACAAAATAACAAAGATAACATTGAGGATACAACGATAAGCAGAGAAAATAAAAGACCTGATTGCTTTGGTCTCCATATACTGCACCCTGAAAGTTTCTGAATTTCTTCTTCTAAGCTTAGGCACATCTGAAATTAGTTTTGGATTGAATAGAAACAATTAGGAAACTAAATCTGAATCTAAACAACAAAGCTTTAACGATTCAAGATACTAAAACTGAGACCCTGAGAGTAACAAAATCACATTACCATCAGTATCAACACGAGGATTGGTAACTCCAGAGCTACTTGGTTCAACTTCTGCTAACACTAATTTCAGATTCAGTCACAAAACAGTATGAAACAAAAATCAAATCAGATTAAGCTGACCTTGGACTCTCTCTACGCAGTCATCGTCACTATCAGCGCTATAATCTGACTCAGTGGCTGAAACATTAAACCATTTACGGATTACAATACGTGCCCAGTAGAGATGAAGACAGGAGAAAGCTGAGCAGCATATTGTAGCCCAACTGATCTGCACCATTTCACATAAGTAATCCCCAAAATTAAACCCTAACTCAATCAAACTATACGACAATGAAACAGGAGAAGATAGAGTTCCGAATACCTCCGTTCGCCGTGATCTTAATCGTGATCGTACTTCCGCCATATACTCCGGTCAAACAGAATCGGGACAGGAGAAGAGGTTGCAGGAGGAAGAAGACGCGGTTGAGACTTTAACGACCTTTGGTGGGAGAGAGATTGAAAATGCTGATTTTTGTTTTTATTTTTTATTTTTATTTTTATTTCTGAAGTTAGAACCGGCGGTTGAGTAAATTGATTAAATTACCGGGTTTAACCGGTTTAGAAAGGTTAACTGAATTGATTACATGTATGAATGTAGTCGAATTTAGATAATGTTGGTAAATTTGAAATCAGTGAGATAGAAAATAATAATAATATTAATTCTGTTTGGTAAGATTGACAACCATAATTTTTTATTTTATTTCTTATGTTCTATTTTGCTTTTGATTTCGTTTTGTATTTTGTATAAGAATAATGTACAAAGCTTGTTCGATCTTATGAGTTTTATGTGGTATCATAGAAATTACTAACAAAGCAAATATGTTTAGTGCTTTAAATATGATGTGCATCATGCTTGTGGACATGAATGTCATGAGTAACTTGAAAAATAAGTGGTTTATGTAGAAAAACAAAATCTATCTAAAAGTTAAGTGGTTTATGAAAAAAAAAATGCTAAATAATTGTTTGTTTCCAACTTAATCCCCATCAAAAATAAATGCAAGTTAATCTCGCAAATTCAAAAATTCATATGTATAAATTTCACAAATCGTATAAATTGTGTATATACGTTATCAAAACTACGCCATTTTGAATATTTATTTTTAAAATAGTTTTTAGCCCATGACTAATATAACAAACTAAAACATGCATAAACAATTATATTACAAATATATATGATTTTGTCATTGTACATATCTTCTCATTCAGTTTGATAACATACCGTGAACGTCAACTATAACATCAAGTCCTCAACAACATCCTTTCTCTACTCAAGCGGATGCTCCGTCTACAGTGTTTTCCCAGCAACCTCTAGTAGGAGGATACAATTTCCAACCGTATCCCATGAATGGATCAAGACTGCCAAACAGTTTCCCTTCAATGAATATCCCTAATTTCATGGTGTCACAACCATTTCGTCCAACACCATACCCATCTGCTCCTCTTGTCGGCTTCCACCCTAATTTGCCACAATGCCATTACTACAACAACCGAAGCTATTAAACCTACCATGTAACAGTTTATTAGGTTATAGGGATTAACATTATGCTACCAAAAGACGAAGTGGATTAATGAGATGGTCTTCTTTTATTTTGTTGTGGTGGATTGTTTTGACAATTTGGTTTTTGGTTTTACTATGGTTACCGTTTCTTCCAGTTCTACTTTTCAACATTCATGGTTACTTTGAGCTCGATCAAAACAAAAATTAAATTACATAACCTGTTTTGAAAGAAGACGAACAAACCAAGGCAAATAGGTGTTAACTCAAGAGATAGAAAAACTACAAAACTTGTCCTGCATAAATATAAATCCAAGTTTAAGAAAAATCCGAGTTTGTTTCCAACTTAATCTCCATCTAAAATAAATGCAAGTTAATCTCGCAAATTTAAAATTTCAGATGTATAAATTTCACAAATTGTATAAATTTTGTATATATGTTATCAAAACTACTTCATTTTGCATATTTATTTTTAAAATAGCTTTTAGCCCATGACTAATAGAACAAACTAAACCATGCATAAACAATTACATTACAAATATATATGATTTTGTCCTTGTACATGTCTTCTCATTCGCCAGTTACGCTTCACGCTCATCATCCTCCATTGCTTGCGATTATCACTTCGACCATCGCTCTTTCTTTTCTAAAACGATTACTAAATCGCTCTTCTCTCTCTCTATCTCTCTTGCAGGCGGTTCCTCCACAAGCTCCTCCCCAAACCCTAGTTCATACTCAAAAGTTTTAGGTTATTTTAATTTTCCTCCCTATTCTCTATCTCTCCCTCCCTTGGATGTTATTTTAATCGAGGAACTGGGTCCTGATTTTAGTCTTCTGATATATGTGTGTCGTAATGTTATTTATCAAGTTATGTCTAGTTTTACCATCACTAAAATAGATATTAAAACTCTACTTGATAGCATGGTATGATCGCATAGTAATATAAGCTGTCAAAAAAAAATTAGAGAATAAAACTATTTTTAAAATATTTTGATTCGATATATTCTGCAAAATATTATATTATATCATCAAAATAAACAGAATAATGTTTTCAATAAAAATTAATATATTTCAAGTAATATCTGATAATAAAAATGTAGGAATATTAAAAATATTTTTTAAAAAGTTGTGAAAATTTTAAATATTATTCAAAAGATGGTATAGTTTTCAGTATAACCAATTATTTTCTTATTTTTATAATTACTAATATTTTGTATGGATAAATAATCATATTTATTATGCATATATATATATATATATCTATTTGTATAATAAACTTTAATTGTATTTTTTTAGATTCATACGCAAATTCGTGTTTTTGCATTTTTTTAGTACAAGTACATAGATTTTCTTGATTAACAAACTTTTTTACATTATTACGATACTGAAAACGTTTGTACATTCTATTATGTGGTGTTACTAATATGAGCCTAAAGCAAAGCTGAAGTGTATATTGTATTCTTGTATTATGAACTTATCGAGTAGAAAACTTTAAAATGAGTAGTAAAAAGAGGTCAAAGTCTAAAAAATATAATATTCTTTTTACACATTTCATAGCTTTCTCCTCCTCCTTCATGTGAGTGTTTTTTTTTTATATAAACAAATCTTTTGATGCTGCTCACCTCCCAAAACGCACCCACCTCCTTTGTCTTGGTAATGTAATTTTGAATTTTACGTATCGTTTTAATTAAGTATAGTTTTTTTTTTCTTTTATGTTTACGATAGTTTCTTTAATCAAAATTTTACACTTATTTTAGGACATCTATAAACTAATAAGACACCCAATCAAAGAAACACGACAAGAACAAAAGGTGGTTTCCCTCCATAATCACATTTTTAAAGTTTTTTTTTAACTTTCACCATCTCCTAGGCCATGCTGCCTCTAATCACTTGTGTTGTGTTCCCTATTCCTACTTCTAAGTTATTCATTATCAAGATAATATGGGGATCTTTTGTTATCATTTAGTCGTGCTATAATTAACTGGACTATAGGTTTGTAATATAGTATAGGTTTGGTTTGTAATATAGTATAGGTTTGTAAAACTAGAGCTTATGAACAATGAAACTCAACCGTACGTTATAAGATAACAATAATATCTAGTTCACGATATGACGAACTACAAATTATACGAAACATAATGTTTTCTACTTCTCATTACAACTTCATAACATTAGTAATGTAACATTACCAAGATTTAAGTATATCTCATGCTCGTCTATTTCATAAACAACGTCGTATATCTCATACTCATCTATTTCATAAACAACGTCGTTTTGACATGTATCTCAAGTTTTAAGAAAAGTTATATATGAAAATAAATTTCTATGTGATATACTGCTAATTAAAAAAATAATAACTTAAAAATTTGTTAGTAATTTCTAGTACAGAAATATCGTCGGAAATATTTTTTTGTTTTTATTTAATATAATTATATAAATGGTTGGAAATTCTTCGACTACTAAAAAAAAATTTCGACGCTATTTTTGTACCAATAATTACTAACGAATTTTTGACAAATGTTAATATCCGATCAAAGAATTCCGTCGTTGGAAATTTGCATGTTTTCTTGTAGTGAATTTAAACAAAAATGACTATAAAAATATATGTTGGATAGGAATGTGATGGCTTTACAAATACAAACATCGCTTAAGCAATACTGTTTACAAACAGAGGGAAAACTATTTTCAAATTACTCAGAAATTGATAGTGTCTTTGCAAATATCTGTTTTTAATATAAATATACTAATCAAATAGTTTATCTTATGCAATACATTATTACAAATAGTTAAACATATGGTATACATAGTACAATATATAGTTTTAAAAATAAGTAAAATAATCCTTAAACATTTTTCGGTGATCAGATCCTTCCATTGAAGCAAATCCAACAATCAAATTAGTTAAAATCATGTAGATATCAAATGTATAACCACCCAACAAAAAATAGATCACTTTGCCCTCTCATTAGAAACAACACACACACCCTATAGTGCAACCAAATAGTGGATCAACTGTTTTTGATATAACTTAGTTGTCGTATAGTACTACTATTGGGTTCATATAATGAAAAGAACAAACAAAAGGATTCATCCAACGGTTGGGACTGGCCGACAAAAGGAGAAGAAGATGGGAGAAGAAGACAAGAGCAAATAACATGTATTGTTACTTTGTTAGCTACATTACTTCGTGGTTTGATTTTTATGATCACACCCTAAACCCACCCACAAAATTATGTGCGACGTAATGTTACATTGCATATATAAACAATATAATAACTTAGTTGCTTATACGTTACCATTGAGATCATTTAACTAACAAAGAGATCGGCAGATTACAAATCAAAGACATGATATGGCAAGATTACATGCATGCAAAATCGATAAATCTTATAAAGCAACGTTAAGTTTAATAGTTTAGACATAAAAGAAGTTTAAACCGAGCAATCATGGAGATGTTTTTTTTGCACTATTTACTTTATTTTTTTTTTTTGCTAAGAATGTAAATATTTCATTAAAATGAAAATGGTTTAGGCTTACAATCAATGATTATAACCTATAAACATGGTCCCATGGCAAAAAAGATAAAAACATGGAAGCATAATTTTAAATCTGAAATTCGGTCCAACCACTCAACCAAAGCATTAAAGCTGAAGGAGTTAGAAGAAGCGATAAACGATTTTGATTGTTCTTCTTGAATTTGCTGCAGGAGGTGAAGAGCGAGTGCAAGTAGAAGAAGCCCGAATGCAAAGTCTAATATCACTAGAAGCCTTTCAATTGATGTCCGAGACTGGGCCGTCAACGGCAAATACCTCAAATTTCTCGACCACATACGCCCCTCTTACGTCATGCGAAAGTAACCGGGTATCAAAATCCATGAGGTTTCCCAGAACGAAACCTCACGGACCAAATTACGCGAACGATGTGAGCTCCCTC